ACCTAGCTCGGAGTCCAGCCGAGTCTTCTGGCTACCAGGGACCGCCCTCACACGGGGGTCCCGGGTTGGAAGGCTGGTCCCAGACACACTGCTGTAGCTTCCCCCAGGCCTTAAGAATTGCCGGACGCTGAGCAAAGAGCCAGCTCGGCGCCCTGAGCAGACTCTCCCCTCTCCCTTCCCCCTACCCTTGGTCCGAATGCCCGACCCTCACCTCGGGTCCGGTGCACGCGCAGGGGACTAGGCGCTGCCCCGGGGGAGAGTGGCGGCTCCCGCGCGGGGGGAGGGTCGCAAGACGAGGCATCCGACTCGGCGCCGTCGCGCTCCGGCTTGCAGTGCTCCTCGTACAAGCGCAGAGACGGCAGCGTCAGCTGCTTCCTGAGAATGAACGGAGGGAGCGGGTTAGAGGGGAGCGCACCCCCCCCCACGTCCTGCTCCCCCAGGCACCCGCCACAGGGCGGTCCCGCGCGCCCCTCACCTTTTCTCTCGCCGGCCGTTCCCGGTGTCCCGGAAACCCTTGGCAAACGGGTTGTTGTCAATCTTCAGCTGAGTGATCTGCGGGGACCGAGGGGGCGGCGCCAGGTCAAGATGAGACTCTTCCAGCCTGGCCTGGGGCACCCCGAGGTCAGCGGCTGCCGGCCCAGAGGAGAGCCCCGGATGTGTCCACTTGGTACCCGCCGCCTGGGATGGGACGCTCCGAGCCGGAAGGCGAGGTGAGGCCGGCGGGCGGGCCTCGCGGAAAGCGACAGGGTCTCTCCTCCTCCAAAAACTTTATTCGAGGCATAATCCCTCAACTTGTACACACAGGCCCAAAGCTGTGCGCACAGAATCGAAATCTGCCCAAGCGTGGACACAGGCCCATGCGGTCACTCGGGGTAAACAAACCCGGCACCTGAGCAGGCGCGCACAGAGACAGCAGAGCACACGCAGGTCCGCAGACACACGCAAAGACAAACCACACTCACGGGCCCGCGCACACGCCAGTACACACAGACAAAACAAACAAGTGCTCACTGAACCAAACGAATTCACACGCCTCCACACGTATCCAAGGCACCCAAATGGTGCACGCATTCCCGCCCGGACATATCGGTTCACAAAGACCGAAAGAACGACCGTCAGGACACTCGGACACTCTCCTTCGCCGGAGAGTGTTACACAGGGGCACAGGCCTAGTGGGGGTGGTGCTCTGACCCCCTAGGGAGAGTGTAGAAAGGCAGCAAGCAGAAAAAAAACCCTTTCGCTTTAAGGAAAAGTCTCTAAGCACCTCCCAAATGGTCCCGGGCCTGGACAGACCCAGAAGGGGATGCTTTGGGGGGCTGTGTCACCTGTCCCGCCCTCTGGCTCCCCCAGGAAAGTAAAAACCGGGCCCGGGTTCCTAGGGTGGGTTCCTAGCGTCGGGAGAGCCTGGGCAGATTGCCTCGGGCGCCCTGTCTTCATTTAAATTCCCATCCCCGAGCCAAGAAATAAACGAATAAAATGTAAAAATGTCAGCGCGGGGCCCCGAGTCTCTGCTAATTGCTAAGTAAACATCCCCACCCCAAAGAGCGCCCAGCTGTTCGCGCTCCCCGGGGAGCGTGTGTGTACGTGTCGCAGACTTCGGGGGGGAGCCTGGGGGATTTCGGTGGGTGCTGCGCTTAGCTTACAGATGCGAGACTTGGTGCTCGAGATGGGCTGTGAGGGCGCGGAGTGCGTGCGGGGGGCTGCGGGAGGGTGTGAGTGCGGGGTTGGAGCCTGCACTTGTGGGAGGGCGTCCGTGCAGAGGCTGGGCCCGCCGCCCGCCCCGCGCACCTTGTCGTTCTGGTAGGCAGTGACCGCGATGAAGTCGGTCTCGGGGAACACGTAGGTGCGGAAGGTGCTGTAGGGCAGCTTCAGGATGTCGTTGGCTCGCACGATGTGGAAGCGCGGTTGGTACTTGTGCATGGAGTTCAGGATGGTCTGCGGGGAGGGCGTGGGTCAGCCGGCAGCCCCCAGCCTTTGGCCCGAGCATTTCTACTCTCTGGGGACCTGACCTCTTTCCATCTCTCTCACAGTTTCTGCCTTCTCCACCCCCCACCCTCTGCTATTTTCTCCTGTCTTCTCTACTCTTTTTCTCACCTATATTTCTTTTTCTTCTATTTTTCTTTCTCAATTTTTTTAAATCAAAGTTTCTCTCTCCATTAAAAAAAAAATAACCCCAGTTGAAAACAGAAATAAGACAAAATAAAAACCCCTGCAACTGCACTCTTAATCTCTCTGCTTGGGCTCATTGCTTAAGCCCCTAGTAACCCCATGGAGAAATGATTGGGACCTGAGGGGGGCTCACCGACTGCCCTACCTCCAAATGGGCAGTCCCTTTTGCCCCATGAACTCCCCCCTCAGATTCTTTAGGGCCCTGGCTCAGGCAGAAAGGGAGAGAACCCCCAAACTCCCTCCTCCTGGTGGGGCATCTGCCTGTGGGAGGAGGGAAAGGAGCCTCAGAGAGGGTGTGGAGGGGGCTAGTTTAATTTTTATATCTCCTAGTTTGGGAAAAGGGATGGGGACACGGATGGGGACACAAGGGTGAGGACAAGCTGACATAGTGGGCAGGTCTTCCAAGCTCAGCATCTAAAGACCAGTGGCTGCACGATGGAGTCCTGGCCGCACCTGCCTCCCACTGGACTCTAGGAAGGGCCTTCGAAGGCCTTCAAAGCCGAGATTGTGAACAGCCTGGAGCTTACCAGCCCCCGACCCCGCCGTTCCCCAAGCTTGCAGAGCAGAGCCCTCTGGGTCCAGGCCCAGCCGGCATATGCCACAGGGCAGTGACCTGGCCAGGGTCACTCTGGGGGTTTGGCCCGCGATGCCCGCCGCCTTGCTCTCCGGCCCCCCCCCCAACCCCAGCAGTGCCAGGTGCTGTGTCTCCCACTCCCATCCCCACGCCGGCCCCGCACTCACGAAGCCATGCTTGTCGGAAATGTTGTTGGTCAGCTTTAGCTTGTGGAAGGCCACAGGCTTAGCCATCCACTGCTCTCCCGTGGCCGGGCTGTCTGGGTGGATGTACATGCGTTTGGGCATCTCGGGGTCGGCCTTGCCCGCCACCATCCAGCGCGAGTTATGGAATTTATACCGGCAATCATCAGCGGCCACAATGTCCATCAGCAGGATGTATTTGGCCTTCTTGTCCAGGCCGCTGACTCGCACCTTGAAGGGAGGAAACATCCGCCTGCGAGGAAGGGAAAGGCGGAGACGCCATGGAACCCGGCTCTGTATCGGAGGGCAGTCTGCCCCGCCCTGGAACCTGGCTCTCTATCGGAGCGCGGTCTGCCCCGACACACACCACTGCCTGGAGCTTCCCCATCTGTGTTTCCCTGTTGTTGCTGCTTTGCCCCCTTATTTCTGCCCGGGAGACCCCACTCGTGGTTGTTACTCCTGGGAGATACCGTTTCTGCCTGTCAGACCCTCTCTTATTATAAGGCTTCTCATTGGCTCCATGCTCAGATCTGGTGACCCTCTTTCTCCCTAATCTGAGATGAAAGCCGGTGTCCAGGAAAGAAATCCAGGCTCTCTAGAAATACACCCGCTTCCCTTGAATCTCCCCAAAAATCGTTTAGGGGACATGCCCACTTAAGACCGACTCCCAGAAATAAAATTCGGAGGATATTTGTTTGGGGAACTGGGTTACAGCGCCGAACAAGACCCTGACCATGAAGTTCGGGGGAAGAGGGTGAGCCTGAGGCCTGGATTCTCAGTGGCTGAGTCGAAGGATGGAGGGTTTGGGGACTGTGGTTTTCTTCTGGCTTTAAGGCTTGGAACGGCATGTGCGTCCGGAGCTCCTCGCTCCTCGGCCAGGACAAGGATCCCGGCCCAGTCCGGCTGCGGCTGGGCCGGCTCGGGGCTCGCTGCCGGAACAGAGCGGCCAGCGGGAAGCAGCAGGCCAGCCTGGGCCTAGCAGAGTGCGAGTCCCATTCTGGGCGCCAGGCTCGGAGGAGAGTCCGGGGACGCTGCATCCTTCCCGGGGCTCCGAGTCAGACCGAGAGGCAGGAGCGAGGCCGCGGGGCTTTGGAGTTGCAGTGGAAACCTCCGAGACCCTCCAGGGCCGAGCCACGGGGCCTCCTCGGCTTTGGGACATTCAACGGTTGAGACTATTCTTTAAGAGCATGTTTCCGTTTTACTTCATTCGGGAGATTTTGATGTTTTAGTTTTAAAAAAAATCACTCGATGCCAAATGAGAAAACCAACTTGGTTGTCTGTGGGATCTAAGTGTGGCGCGAGGGCCGGAGCCGGGAGCCGCGAGCGGCGGGCTCGGCGCTGGTCGGTGCTGTTGGGTCCCCCAGCCCAGCTTCCCCATCTCCCGCGCGCCCGCCGGCCAGCCGACCGCCCTACCTCCCGGACTTGGTGATGACCATCTCGGTGCCCAGCTTGTGGAACTGGTCCCACAGCTCCTTGGCCTCCAGCGTCACCTTGGGGTCGTCCTCCACCTCGTCCTCGGGCTCCAGGCTCTTAAGCGAGCGCAGATGCGCGGCGGGCGGGTGCGGGCCGAGCGCCGAGACGTGCAGCCCCGCCTCGGCCG